AACAGAGATCCTACTATTGTTTCAGTGGTCTTTGAATGAGATTCCTAAGTGGTTTTTTCCACTCAATCTGCACTGTGTATTTACACTGTAAGCTCCCCAAGGCAGAGACTGTTTCTCATTTAACTGTGCCTTTTGTCACAACTAAGATTTAAGTGACACTCTAACAATTATGCCCTGGTCCTGCTACAGCATGACTTGGGGATTGGGAAGGGACCAAAATTTCAAAGAGAGAGATAGAAGTCTAGTGCTCTAAGATCTAATTCCTGTGCTCAGAGCATCAGATCCATAATGCCCAAAAGAAATCTGGGCTTGACATTGCTGCTCAGAAACTTCAGGAAAGACCCGGAAGTGTCTAATGTCAAAACTTGCAGGACACAAGAATACAGTGGCCTTTGATTACTGTTGATTACAATGCTGATTCACTGCTCAAACCATAGTCCAGCCCTTGGAGGAAAACAATTTTTGATCCAGCATCTGCATCTTTCCTCTTTGCTCTTGCCAAAAGCACGTGCAGTATCCAAGGAGAATGAGCTCCAGAACACATCACTACCAAGTTTATTTTAAGTAAACATGACTTCCTTCCTGTCCCAGTATTATACCTTTTCCTCCAGAATTTTCCCTGCCTTTTTGCTCTCCTTCTCACAAATATCCCCACAAACACAGGTCCTAAAGTACTGCCAGGAGACATGAGGCTCAGTAAAGCATGGCCCACACAGCAAAGCCCCTGAATGACTCCTAGGCTTCATGCCACCAGCACCTGCCCCTGTGGCCCTAGCAAAGCTGGTGACATAAAAGCTGGAACATCCCCTAAATCTTCACTAATTATCCCAACAGACTTCAATGTCCTCCAAGAACCATGTGAAGGATCTTCCTAATTACTAGCCAGACAATGGAGAGTGGAGTCGGGTCCCTGGGATCCTCCAGCCTGCCAGCCCCAGCCATGCATGTTCCTGTTTGGCCTCTGGGGCTGACTGCTCCATATGGAGACCACCACCCCACACTTCCTCTCTTCCATCTCCACCCAGCTCCCTCCCTGCCCCCATCACCACCACCCCCAGCATGTGGATTTTATGAATGAAACTTTCTGACAGTTATGGGGTTGGCAGAGGCCTATTCAGCAAGCTGGGGAATGTGTGAACACCAGGCTTCATTAGAGACTTCTCCCAGTCAGCTGATAGCTCATTAACTTAAAGTGGCCTCTTGTTTTAAAACCTCAGAGACCAGGAGGTGGAGTGTAGAGAAGGGGGGGATGGTTCTCATTGTTCCTCTTGCCTCTCTCCCCCTCTGCCCCCTGTGAGATTAGGCGCCCTTGGAGGGGAGAGAGAGAGGCTAAAACAACTTTAATTAGTTATTTTCAAAGATTTTCTCCCCCTTTCTTCCTTTTTTTGTGTGTGTGTGGAGCAGGGGGGGTCTCTCAGCTGGGTTTTTCTGCATGGAGGAGCTCACGTCATTATGCTTAAATCCAGCTCCTCCGTCCTTTGTCTCCTGGCCAACAATAGAAGAAGGCTTGTAAAAAGCTCCTTCCAAAACTCCTGGAGACTGTCTGAAAAGGAAGATGGGGTGAGGACTCCTCTCTTTCCTCCCTCAGTCACAAAAGTGACAGTCTGGTGCCTGTGCCAGCAGCTTTCCTGTGTTAGAAGCTAGTACTGGGGTAAGTAGGGCAAACAGAGTGCTGATTCCTAAACTGCTGCTGTGTCAGATGAAAAGTGGAGCCCAGACTCACTTCACAAAGTGTCTGGTAGTAACTGTTCTCTGTGTGGATTTAAGGTCAGGGTGGAGCTCTGGACATTGAGGTCAGTCTTAGGACTTTATCCCAAGAGCTAATCCTCTTCTTTCTTTTAAAGAGATCATAAAATAAGTGCAGCAATAGGACAAACCCTCCTTCATGACTCCACTTTTGAAGAACCTGAAATAAACAACTAAATTGCCATTATTGTCACCCATAGGGAAATTGGTTGAGACCAGCACATTTATTTCTTATAGGCAACCAAACTACAAATGACAATGGCTTTTAGCATCTTATGCTAGATGGAATTTAGCAGAATAGAGAAGGTGTTATCCCCTCAGTTGTGGTATAAGGACCAACAACAACAACAAAACAAAAAAAAACCCCAAACCTCAAACAAACAAAAAATCCAAAGAAAAGAGTCTTTGTTCCTTGCTAGCACCAAAGCCCAGAACAGTACCCTAGAAGAGCAGTTGCTACAGTGCCAACCTCCAGCTTCTCTTACAGTTCTTCTTTCAGTATTGCAAAGAAACATTTCTTTCCATAGCTTCTCTTTGGGCCCATACACAAAAGAGATGTGTCTCTGAAGATGAGTTGAAATTCCCATGAGTAGATGAGTTCATGTGTGAGGCAGAAAAATCAACCATGAATTATGGTTTAACCAGTACATTTATACACTCTGTAAATCACACTTAACCGTATATCCTTTGCCTATTTAAATCAGGAGTTCCCAAGAATCTGGACTAATAGACTGATAGCTCTCAAACTTTATTCCTACATTCCAGCACAGATGCAAGAACTGAGGTGTTGGTGGATGTTGCAGCTGAAGGGTATTCCAAGGAGTAGGTGCAAATTGCCTGCCATGGCTTCATGAATCAGATTCAATAGCAACAGTTCTGACTACAGGCTTTTCAGGGTAAGGATTTCTACTGCAGTTTAAGTACTTAGTACCTGATTTGGTCAGCTTTCTTACATGAAACTGAACAGCTTTTGCAAGTTTTTAGAAACAAGGACCATCACTCCCTTCTACCCTCTGCAAAATCAGAGCATAAACATGTTCCCTTTCAAGTCCATGGCATTCAACTACTGCCATTCTGAGGAAACAGAGGGTAGGATTTTGCCCCTGTTTAAACACTGACAAGCCAAGCAGAGGGGTTTGGAGTCATTTGTGCTGTGATCCTGTCAGTTCTCATAAGTGAGCCTGGCTGGCTCACTGCTCCGCAGTCCTCCAAGGAGCTGTGCCGAGTGCCGCAGTGCTGCTAACGCAGTGCGCTGGTGTTCCCAGCCGGCTGTCAGAGCCACCACCTGCAGGACTTATAGACTTTCCACTAAAGCTGTAAACCAAAGGTTCTTGCAACATTTTTGTTGCAAGACTTTACTAGACTGATCTTTTTGGCAGTGGTTGTAAGGATGACAACTTTTTCTGTCTGTTGCATCCCTCCTCTTCTATTTTTCCTGTCCTAATTTGACCCCCATGGTTTGTGGGGATTTCTAAAAGTTAAACATCTCCAATATCTCATCCTGTAAGTGACTGTATTTTGAAAGTGGTAAACATGATTCTTATGAACCAATAAGAGTCAGAATCATATTCTATCACCAGTTGTCTAATGAGCCTGGCATTTTTGAATTAAATAAACTCTGCAAGTATTACTTTTTATTGTGCTTTCATTAAAGCAAAGCAGTTCCTTCCCTTGCTGATTGCAAGGATTTTAAAACATAGATTCATTTGCATTTGTGAGAATTTCTTATTCTCTGCCCTCTACATCGAAGAATGCACTACATTTTGTGATGAGTCACATCAATTTTCATTTGCCACGAACTGGCTGTCCAAATGTTTCCAGGCAAGGCCACTCCCCAGATTTTGTTACATCATTCTTGAATTTAAAACAACAAAGCTTTCAAGCTCTTTGCTGCAGTTACCACCAGAAATGTCTGTACTCATCAAAATATTGGGTTTTCCCCCCAGGAAAGCTTAAAGATTACTCACAGAACACTCACTAGTAGAATGAAGCAAAATTTACAATAAGAAGAAAGCAAAGATAGCACTACTATAAAGGTAAACAGAAAGGAGGGAGTGCTACAATACTGTTTTGTTTATCCCTCACTGATACAGAAGCATACCAACATCACAACACACCGAGCACTACCCATCTACAGTTAAAAGATAAGCTTAAGAGAAGCTTGAATATGGGTTGAGTTCCAGCCTATGGATCTAAAACCAGAAGCCTGCACAGAAAAGCTTAACAGAGACAAGAGTAGCTCATCAACCAAGATTGTGGCTCACTGACCAGAAAGGGACGCTGCACCAGGCAAGTCTACGTTAGACCAGACAGAAAAGAATGAAAGAAGGACCTGTCATCTTCCTCACTTTACAACTGGATAATGCAAAGACACAGTATGTTATCCCATGATCAAAACGCACATTTGTAACAGAACCAGAAATAAAAGCTACGTTGCCTGCCTACCACCCCAGAGACTTCATTACAAAAAATAAAATAAAATCTTGCAATAAAGAAAACAGAACAAGGTGGAAAAAGGGCCTGATTTTCAGGCCAGCAGATATAGTGACATTATTTCAACCTACAAACTTTGTCTACTCTATATACTTAGAGTGTCACAATTGCGTCAAAATACTGTTTCATTGAAAAACTGCATTCACCACCACTTTTGGAACATTTTCCATTACAAAATGGATGCTGGGCAGAATCTGCATAGCTGTATGACAGCTCCTATGAGGCTAGCAGTTAGAAAAGACTGAGCAAAAGATGGATCAGAGGATAGCAACCACAGCAGCAGCAGTAGGCAGCAGCAGTTTTGTGCATAGCAGTGGCATTCAAATAGAAATTTTCCAAAGACATACAGCACTGACATTTTAAACTTCTTTCCCAGCATGAAGGCTGCATCATGACATGATCCAAATTTAACCTCGATAGGCTCTATGCTGCCACAGCTGGGATGCTCCCAGTACCCAAGGTAGCTAATGCAGGCTTTGCTGAATTGATTTATTTCTTGGCACCAGTCAGAAGCCCAAAGCACCTTTTACTTCTCAGTCTAATGCACAATTCTTGCTATATGGAAGGAAGGCATAGGGTGTTATATTACTGTAGAGAGACTTTAGCCAAAATGAGGACCAACTCTCTAGCTGGATGCATACATAGGAAGAAACACTTCTTTCTCAAAAAGTTTGTGATAAGAGTGGAATAAACAGGAAAAGTCTAGACAAATGAAGAGGTTAAACAACTTGCCAAGATTGCCAGGCAGGACAATGTTATACCTTGGATAGGGCTTGGTTTCCTGGTGTTTCTACTTCTATATTAAGGTGTGCACGAACTACTTGCTCACTTGAAGATCTTTTTCCTTTTTTCTTGTACAGGACCATGGGTCACAATCATCTCTTCCATGCACATGGAACAGACTCCACGATTAGCACACTGCAACATCAAAGGCTGTGTATTATTGTTATGTGTGTTATGCCAGATAAATTCACCTAGGTACCAGTAGCTTCCTTAAGGCATGTTCAGGGGAAACAACCTAAACATCTCCTACCAGCATCTCCCAGGACACTAGACTTCACTATAAGCACTTCATTTTTCTCCTCCAACTTTTCAATTTCAAATCCCAAGTAACAGGATATGAAGAAGAGGAAGCAAATTTAACAGCTGAACCAAAATGAGTGGTCTTGTACGAGCTGTTAACTGTCCTGTCACTTGTTAAGGCTACAAGTATTTGGTTTTTAGTTCTCTGCTTTCACTGAAGCTTTGAAAGTGTCCCAGTAGATGCTGGTCTTAGGTTTACAGATACTGTCCCACTCGTCTAAATAGGAATTTTAGGGCACTGAGTATTGTAGCTGCCTTTTTTCTTTTATACCAAGATATAACAAAATCTCTATCTTTTTCCCCCTCCCCTCTCATTCAGTGATGCCCAAAAAATAAGCATAGTACCAATCAGCATGAATCCTTCTCCATCAGACAGTGCAATGGGTTCATAAACCCTAAAGATTTAAAAGGATATCTCATCCCAGAACTGGCTGGAGAAGGAAGATGCTCTGCTCAGTGGAGCATCTCCTGGCTGGTGGAAAATGACTTGCATTCTCTGTACCCAAAACTACATGAGGATGAACTTTTGACTTCAACCCCTGCCAGCACTGAAGAACTTAAAACTTCTTTGTCTTCTCTCCTTGTAAAACAATCCCTTTTTACTGTGATGTCTGTGTGAAGGTGGCAACTAAGGCTCAGCCTTCTGTCATAGCCAATATCATTCCAGATTTAGCCTGACATCATCAAAGTTCATGCTGAACTGCCAACTTCTCTCCTTGTTTTCATCAATTTGATGCTTTTTTTCTAAACATATCCATATGTCACAACTCCGACAGCATGCCTTTCTTAGCTGTCTTTTCCTCCTCCACTGTCACTATTTCATTTACGTATATAAAGATTCCTAGATCAAATACAGATCACTCAACATCCTGACATTCTCACAAGCTAGCTATGAACTCTGATTATCACAGAAATTTTTCCTAAAACAAGTATCAAACAGAGTCTATTTTCTCTTCTCGGTGAAACCTCAGCCAGCATAATCCCAACACATGGAACTTCCACATGCTCAGCCACTGGACAATACTATGAAATAAGGAGATGGTGAGTCATTGCTCAGAGCTTCAAGTTTCTGCAGGTGTGCTACACAGGCAGGGAAAGTTGAAGTCATAGCTAAGAGAATGGTACGTCACCAAAAATGATACTCGATTGTGATAGAAGACAATGGTGAAGCATTTCAAAACCTGGCCTACTTGTAAAATGCAAAGTAATGCTATGCCCTCACTCCTCAAAAGTGATTTTGGGGGGCTGAGAACATTTCAGAGGACAGGGCACCCCAACAGCACAGCCCTTCCAGAACAGAACTAATACCAACTGCCACTAGAACAATAATAACAATAACAGTGGTTGGCTAATGACAGACTTGCTAATACCAAGGTAGAGTGGAATGCTTTTTATTTTAGACCAGCCCAGGCAGATTCACACAACATTTGGATAGTTATGAAATTGTGTTAGGCAAGAGGAATAACAAGTTGGTCACCAAAGACAGCATTAGAACAAAAAGGCTGTCCTGAGGGGGCACTGAAAGAAGGCACTAGTGCTACAACTGGGGAAAGGATTCTTGCAGAAATATCATGATGAGGGATGAGGAAGAAAAGGCCATCTACTTGATGCCTGTTCTGAAGGATGCAATGTTGTCAAGGAATAAAGCAGAGAAGGAAAGAAAGAAATAAATCAGTATGAAGTTCCTTCAGGAATGCAATGAACACAGGGGGTGCCTCTGTTTGGCAGCCCCAGGACGCTTGCAGCCCTGGCTCAGATTGTGTGGATATGTTTTTGACTTGTCCTGGTCAGCAGATTAATGGCATTAACGAAGTTTCCATTAGCATCGGAGATTGGGGAGGAGGGTGAAGAGACAGAGGCGTCCAAGCGGAAAGCCACATGACTGCAGAATTGATAAGGCTAAAGATGAAACGGAGCTTCATTGGCATAAGAGAGGCCAGGAAATGCCACTACAAATTAGCCCCAGGCCTCATTTCTTTTCCCTTCATTATCCAAACCCCTTCAGGAGAAGAATGGAGGAGGTTATGACCCTCTCCCAACACACACATACACAGATATTGAGTGAGTCTCTCTCAATGAACATAGACATGGGTATATCTGTGTGTGTCTAAGGGTCTGTGTGTGTGGTATATTTGTGTCTAGGCAAATCTGTATTAATATATTAAGTAAAAAAAAATTTATCTGCATCAATATGTATCTACCTATCTGTATATGTCAGGGCATGTGTTCTCATATCTACAATCTTTGCAGTTAAACCATGTAATATTTTTTCATATTAGTGAGCTTTTCCTGAAAGTAACACCACTGAAAGCAAAAACCTTACACAATTCAGTGAGAGTTCCAGCACCTGAACAGTTAGAGTCCCAGGACCTGTCCACAGTAACTTATACATTACTTACAGAGTTTCTGGGTGTAAGTTTCTACATACATGTTTTCCTGCAGGCTTGTTCTTGTACTTGTTTCTGAAGGTCTACATACAAGGTGTATGCGGAGGGCAACGACACTCTTCTACATATATTATTTTTTTCTTTTGTGTGTCCATATCCTCTGTGTGTGTTTTTGTATTCTGCCAATTATGTGGTTGCTTGTATCTGTGTCCCAGCTGTCTCTTTTCTGTGCATGAGTGCCTTTTTCAGAAGTCTGCATACCTCAAATAAGTTCTGGTCTGTGTACACACTTCTGTGTGTCTTCCTGTTTGTGTATCTTTGAATACAAGTGCATGGGAACACACGGCTGTATTTGTGAAAATTTTTCTTTAAATTACATGTAAACTATTCTGTGTAAAATTGTGGACAAGTTCTAGTGTCTGGCTCTGCACTTATCATTCTTGAAAATAAAAAATTCTATTTCTTGCTATTGACTACTTATTGCACCTGAAAATTAATGAATACAGGTAAATACAACAGTGAATAATAAAAAAGTATTTGTCATAAAAAACACACAAATTCCACTATACAGGTATGTGAACCAGCTAAGAAGAACAGAAGAGAGGATAAGATCCATTTTAGTTAGTCATTCATATCCAGCAAATTTAAGGTGAGGGAGATTATTTCCTACATAGATTAAAAAATAACATTTCTCCAAGTCTAATGACATCTATGTGTTGTTAGTAAGAAAGGTAGATTCTCTTCAAAGAGACTGTTAGCCATAGGCTACTAACATGAGAAACAACTTTGCCTAGGGGTAAACAAGAAAACAACCTCCTTCTGCGTTTGGAAAACAAAAAGAGGAGAGGAAAAAAGCCGGGGAAGGATGTGTAAATGGAGCTTTGTGCAATGGTGCTCTGTTATGTGAGCTGTATGTGACAATAGCCCTGAAACCCTATGCGAGCAAACTCATAAAAGAGGTCACTGTCTCTTTAATTAAAGCTCCCTGGTTTGAGGTTAAAAACAAACCCAGTGTTTTATGACCAGGTGTGCGTGTGAAAGAGATGGGAACCCGATCCCCAGCCCAGTGGCACAGCAGCAGAGAGGAGATAAGGGAGGAAAGCTTTTTATTAAGGTGTCGCTTGAATGCTGCACCAGGCAAGGCAAACGCTGGTGAGGCAGGACACACAAGCCCCCAGGGACCAAGGCTGCAACAGGGCAGCACCAGGAAAGGGGAATGATGGAGAGGCAGGACAAGCTCCCAGGACCAAACCTTCCAAACCACCAGGAACAGGAGAAAGGGATCTAGGAGTATCAGCTGAAGAGAGATCAGGAAAAGCACCAAAAAGGTGTTGGGAAAATAGCAACCGTTACCAATCCCTACAGCCTACAGAGGCAAAGACAACAGTGATTGTGGTATCATTCAGTTGGCAAATAACAGGGGAAGAAGAACAACTGCAGAGCCCTTGTTGGTAGGCCTTGAGAGGGACCAACCCTTCCTAAAGCAGACTGCACACAAGAGCCTCATATTGTTTGTGGAAACAATAGGGACCAGACTGATCCTACCATCTAATAAAATGCTAAACCAAGATAAGCAGAGAGGTTGCACCCTCTTCCTGAGCCTTTCCTGTCAGTGATGTCACACTTGGAAAACTGGGGCTTCCATTTGCTGTATAATCTAATCTTTAGATCTCACTCCTAAGGTACCTGTCACTATAATAATATTGAATTCTACTGAAGTGCTGTGTCCCATGGGTCAATTTGGTTATGAGTCCTTTCTTTACAAAGACTCCAGCTGCCAGTCCCTGTCCTGAAAACTTAGAAACAAGGAAAACATCAGTCAGTTCTCTTCTGTACTTGCATAGAGAGCTGCAAATGTTCAGCTTGAAGCAGGAGACAATCCAGAACCAAGTCCCTCAGTTGCAGGACAGTTTCTCCTGGGTAGAAACATAACACAAGCCCTGTATACCACTGTCTCTGGGCACTTGAAACCATGTGTTTTGAGATAAAAAATCTGAATTCCAACTTCAGTATGGCATGAATATCCCAGGGGCTGGAATGACACAACTATGAGATCCTCAGCAGACAGATTTGCTACAGTAATTACTAAAAGAAAGCTGAAATGTGACATGAAACAAAAAAAACCCTTGTGAACCTCCCATCTCATTACACAGCTTTGTAAATAACAGCAACAGCACATGCTCTCAAAGTGCTGTTTTATGAACAAATGAAAGGCTATCTTGGTATTTTCTCTGTTCGAATGCATGCAATTTTACAGAAAATTGGTTTAATTTTTTTTTTTTTTTTAATAGATAAAATTTTAGTAGGTACAATTAGAAGGCAGTAGAAGGTCAGCTCATCATTTACTACATTCAGTAAAAGTATCAGAGATCTATGGATGGGAAAAGCAGAAGGAGAAATGGAGAAGAACAAAAGGGATACAGGAGAGAGCAGACTACAATCACAGAA